TAGAAGTTATTCTTTTTTTGTTCCCCAGTTGGTGACAAAGTTCCAGCTGATATCCGCATCATTTCCATCAAATCCACCACTCTGCGTGTGGACCAGTCTATTCTGACAGGTAAGGAACTCACACACAATACGTTAGCAATAAATAAATTCTGCCCATAAGATAATTTGGGGGGGCAGGATTAAAACAAAAGGAAGAAAGAGGAAATAACAACAAAGATGATGTTTTTAAATCTCAGTCAATCAGCGAAGACCTGGAGAAAAACGTATATTTTAAACCACTTTGTAAAGGAGAAGGATAGAACTAAATAGAGATCATAGACTCTATGGATAAACCTGTGGTTGGGAAAACATGCCTCAGAAAATCATTGCTAAGTATGATTTGGGTATGATCTATACCAATGTTGTTTCAACCTTGGCTAATTGAAGATACTGTATGTAGACTCCAACTCCCAGAATTCATTAGCCAGCTATGCTGGCTGGAGAATTCTGGGAGTTGAAGTCTACAAGTCTTAAAGTTGCCAAGTTTGAAGATCTCTGATCTATGCAATATGCAATACTTGCATTCAGTCATAGTTATAGTATAGCCTTTATTGTCATTGTACACCATGTATACAATGAAATTGGTTAGTCAGGCCATCCTGACCCTGTTTTGTATGAAGCAAATGATCTAACCCTTTATATCTCCACCCAGGTGAGTCTGTCTCTGTGATCAAACATACTGATCCTGTCCCAGATCCCCGGGCTGTAAATCAGGACAAGAAGAACATGCTGTTTTCTGTGAGTATTATTGGCAGGGATGAAGATGTAAAGTCTCATGATGCATCTTTTTGTCCCTGATCCAAATAGTGAATGGCAGGGATACTAGTGTGACATTAAACATCATATTCCAATTGTCTTTATTTGGTAACACAGTGGGATAAAGAATCAGCTGAATGTCTATGGAGATTCTCAGTCATCCAGGTCATGGTTGCCCCAAAAGTGCTTTTTCAAAAGGCAACTGGACTCCCCCCACTCTGAAGATATTTTGCTTTTCATCCAAGTTCATCTCAGAGCTGAAGAAGTTTCTTGGATGAGAAGCAAAACATCTTCAGGGAAAAACCAAAGTCCAGTTGCCTTTGGAAAAAACACTTTTGGGACAATCAAGTGACATCATTTTATTTGCTTTTCCCAGCTTTCCCTGCTCTCTCAAGCAACAATGCAAATTGATATTACATTTTATTCACCTATAGGTAACTGGGGAGATCGGGGCAAAACGACCTGCTTGTAAATTCCATAATTTTATGCTTCCTATTAATAACATATGACTGTCAAAAAGAGTGATATGATATAGCCAAAAATTTGAATATGATTGCAAGTCAGATACAACTAGAGAGACAACTAGAGTAATCAAATTATTAACCATATGTCATCAATCAGTATTGACTCTAAGTGACCACACAGAAAGATTGTATCCAAGATGATCTGTCCTTCAGATCCTCCTATGATTCAGTAATCTCTGCTGCAACTGAATCTGCCGATCTGCTGATTTTTCTTTTTCCTTTCATCTTTGCAAGAGCTGATTTTGCAAATTTTAAGGAAATGTACTGTTATTTGCTTATTTTTGCTTCTTCATTAAGAATGTGTGGATCTGCGTACTTGAGAGTGGATCTGCGTACTTGAGAGACCCGCCTCCTGCCAATTACCTCCCTGCGACCAATTAGATCGCATAGATTAGGCCTCCTCCGAGTACCATCTGCCAGTCAGTGCCGACTGGCAACCACACGGAGGAGAGCCTTTTCAGTAGTAGCTCCGACCCTTTGGAACGATCTCCCCGTGGAGATTCGTACCCTCACCACCGTCCAGACCTTCCGCACAGCCCTTAAGACCTAGCTAGCCCGTCAGGCCTGGGGATAAAGCTAATTTGTCCCCACCCGAATGATGAATGAATGTTGCTTACTATTTTACTTCTATGTATTGTTTGTGTCTATTGTCTGTACCCTCCCTTCCTTATTTTATGTAAGCCGCCCTGAGTCCCCTCAGGGAAAAGGGCGGCCTATAAATACTAATAAAATCAAATAAAATAAAATCAAATTTAGCAGCATTCTAAAACCTCACCCCAGAAGGTGTGCACATGGTTCTTGGAATAGGTGATGGGATGGGAGTTTTGTGGCCGTCATGAGAAGTAATTTCAACAATGGCCAAAACCAATGGCCTCCGACCTTTTGGGCACCAGGGACTGGTTCTGTGGAGAGAGGTTTTTCTGTAGATCGGAGAGAGTGTGATTTTGTGTGCTGCCTACATCCAGCAGATGGGGCTTCACTTGTTGTGTGGCCCGGTTTCTAGTATACTGCAACCTGGTGCCAATCCACAGACCGATGGGTTGGGGACTAAATAATAGTTCAAGCCATAATATTTTTTTTTGCAGATAGAGAATGAACATGCTATAGATGTAGCGCAGGCATGTTCTTTATACTGCCATGAGGACTAGAGAACTTAAGAGTTTAAAGAAATTTTAAGAAAACAATGTACTTATGCAAGATTGTACATAGCCATATTTACAGCCTTCTTTATCTAAAATAACTTAGTTTTGCCCATCCATATTGCGTGCCACTTTCCTTTGTTGATTTTAATCCATCTTGTTCCTATTCCTCTTCGTCTTCAAACTCACTCCAGGGTACCAACATTGGTGCCGGCAAAGCTGTTGGTATCGTCATCGCCACATGCGTGAGCACTGAGATTGGTAAGATCCGCGATGAAATGGCGGCCACAGAGCAAGAGAAGACACCATTACAGCAGAAACTGGATGAGTTTGGTGAGCAGCTGTCCAAAGTCATTTCCCTCATCTGTGTGGCTGTCTGGCTCATCAACATCGGGCATTTCAACGACCCCATACACGGAGGCTCCTGGATCCGCGGCGCCATCTACTACTTCAAGATTGCTGTTGCCCTCGCTGTGGCTGCCATCCCAGAAGGTCGGTTGAGGCCATTCCAGGTTCCCACAACCACCTGTCCAGGCTTAATGAATGCTGGCAAATTTCTTTCTTTCTTTAAATAGCTTTTGCTGCCATCGTATTTTTGTGATTTCATTTTCTTCTGCACTGTACATATGGTGCACTGAACTCTGGAAAGGGTCTGAAGGAGTTGGAGTCTAGCTCTTTAGATATTAACCCATACTCTTGCAAAGCGTTAAGTTATCTGTGACAGGATTTACACTTTGTGCAAACTCTCATTGTTACATGTTGGCTTGCTGTACTCTAGTTATACATAATGCTAAGCTATAAATACTGGTTTACAAATTTAGGTGGTTGAATTTATAATATACAGGTAGTCCTTGACTTACAACAGTTCACTTAATGATCGTTCAAAGTTACAACCAGACTGAAAAAAAATGACAAGACCATTTTCCACACTATGACTGTTGCGGAATCCCCATGGTCAAAATTCAGATACTTGGCAACTGACTCATACTTATGACGGTTGCAGTGTCATTGGGTCAGGTCTTTTGCAACTTTCTGACTACCAAAGTCAGTAGGAAACCAGATAAATGTAGCAACTGTGTTACTAATTTAATAGCTGCACCATTGTTAAGTGATTCACTTAACAATGGTGGCAAGCACGGTGGTAAAATGGGGCAAAACTCGCTTAACAAATGTCTAATTTAGCAATAACATTGGGCTAAATTGTGGTCGTAAATCTAGAACTACCTGTAATCACATTAAGCCAAAACCAAAAAGAGCTCAAAACTTCAGGTTTAAATGTGCCACTGATACTTCTCTATATCCTACCTGATTTTATTTAATATTTTTTTAAATGGAAAAGCAACAAATGGGGAGCTAGCAGATTGCCAAAAAAAATAAAAAAGGTGGCATTCTCTGCCATCCTTTTTCTTGCCAGGAAAGCCTTGGGAATTGCATAGAACAAAGAGGCATTTTTGAGACAATAAAGAAGGGAGCAGGTACAGCTCAATGCAAGGTGTGGACTGATCAGAGGTGGTATTCAGCAGGTTCTGACCAGCTCTGAAGAACCAGTGGTGGAAATTTTGAGTAGTTTGGAGAACCGGTAAACACCACCTCAGACTGGCTCCAACCCCATCTATTCTCTGCCTTCCGAGTGCCAGCTGATTGGGAGGGAATGGGGATTTTGCAGTAACCTTCCCCTGGAGTGGGGAGAAAATGGAGATTTTACAGTACATACTTCCCCTGCCACACATATTCTTTGAATATGGAACAATCTAGAAGCTAAAGTAATGAAGGCTTGCAGGCTTGCTTTCTGGTACTTTGGTTTGTTCTAACTACCCAGGCCCACCATGGCAGCCATTTTGGAAGACTGACGGAGAGGAGGGTGTTTCTTAAAATGCAAATGTGTCTACCTGCCTCGCCCCCCACTCCCTCCAAGCTAGGCTTCTGGTGTTTTGACTACAGTAATGTTGTATCACTTGGCCTTTCAACACAGAGAACAGAATTATGACCTTTTTTCTAGTCCTTCTACTACAATGTTGTCACTCTGAGATTTTCAAGGCTGTTCAGATCCAAAGTATTTCCTATACTATTGGGCTATGACACACTGTTACAAATCTCATTAAAGCCTTAGCATTCTTTGTCACAAATTGGAATCTGATAATGTGAGTTTCTCAATGATATCTGAAAAAGAAGTATAATTATGGGTAGTAAGGGCCAAAAAAGGGTCATCCAAGTGGATTTGTTTGAATGTGACATGAATTCCACAAGCGCATCTTTTTGCTCCTTCCTCTTCTTCCTCTTCAGGCCTTCCCGCTGTAATCACAACCTGTCTAGCTCTGGGGACTCGCCGTATGGCCAAAAAAAATGCCATTGTCAGAAGCCTGCCCTCAGTGGAGACCTTGGGCTGCACCTCCGTCATCTGTTCCGACAAAACTGGCACTCTGACTACCAACCAAATGTCGGTTTGCAAGGTGAGCTGAAGGTGGATGCCAGCACTTTTCCCATCTAGAGTCTCTTTTGGGCATCTCATCTTCATCCTTATTGAAATCCTGTCCTTTCCTTCCTTCCTGACTTTCCTTCCTTCCTTCCTCCCTCCCTCCCTCTTTTTCTCTAGATATTTGTTGTGGACAAAATAGAGGGAGATTTTTGTGCCTTGAATGAATTCAATATCACTGGTTCCACCTACGCCCCAGAAGGAGAAATGTAAGTACAAATGTGAACTCTAAATAAAGCTAAAAATTTAAACCTGATAGCCTAAGCCTATATACTGTATATATAGAGAAAAATAGATACTGATTTTTTTTAAAAAAAACCAAAGCCAATACTTTAGTTTTTACATTATGCTAAATAATGTTTTGTTTCAACTATGGTTTTGTTAAGTTGAAATCAACACATAATTTATGGATTATTATGGTTTGAAGTTATAATGGCTAGTTTCACCCAAAATACTAAATCAAAACCAAACAAATCATATTCTGCCTTAATGTGATATTTATTCTTCCAGAAAAAAATTAGATGCTTTGATTTATTAGCTGTTGTTTTGCTTCTCCCATAATTCACAGAAACAACCTATGCTCCTTCTAATTATATATCTCGGCCACTGCTGAATTAAGCAATGCCATGGGCATCCTATCCCAGTGCCCGTAGGCTATGGGAGTGGGAAGCAACAGGTTCAGCTGAATTCTGGCAAGACTGAGTAGCTTTGAGTTTAGGGCCCTACAAGTTGCAGGACTACCATGTTTCCCCCCAAAATAAGGCAGGGTGTTATTTTCTTTTGACCCCAGAAATAACCTTATTTATGGGGAAGTTATTATTTTTGAGGTGCAAGAGGCAGCGAGCGTGGTCACCTCATGGCTGCTGCTGTGTTGCAATATTTTCGGGGAGGGCTTATTTTCAGGGGAGGGCTTATTTTAGCACATGCATTCAAAAGCCTGATTGGGCTTATTATCCGGGAAGGTCTTATTTTCAGGGAAACAGGATATGCTATCCTTGGTGCTAGATAGGGTCTGCTATCCCAGATAAACACTATGCACAATATAGTGTCATCCTGGACTCACAATTTGCTTAAAATATTCACAGCTAGGAGGGCCTATGCAATAACAGGTTTGTGTTATGTGCCAGTTGAGTCTGTTCCTGGATGAGGGGGGACTCTGCTCACTGTCACTCAAGCCCTAGTCACCTTCCAATTGGAATATTGTAATGCACTCTACATGGGGCTGCCCTTGAAGAGTATCCAGAAGCTTCAACTGGTGAAAGATGCAGCAATGTGGGCAGTGCGGGCCACACAGGATGGACTTTGTAATACTTGAAACATGGTTTCTGTAGTACTGTTGCACTGGCTAACTAAAAGGGGTTTTCCACCAGCAGTTACACGTGTTTCTAGGACAGGAGGTCCTTCGTAGGCTGCACTGGTTGCCAATTTGCTTCTGGGTGTGATTCAAGGTCCCAGTTTTGACCTTTAAAGCCCTTCATTGCATAAGGATGGGTTATTTGAAGGACTGCAATTTCCCAATTACATCTGCTCATCCCGTAAGATCTGGCAGCAGAGGCATGCTGTGGGTTCCATCTGCTATGCTTGGTGGGCGTGAGGAGGCAGGCCACCTCCTGGAACGTTCTTCACCCCTGAATTGAAGTCAGCTCTATCCTTACTTATTTTTCAGAAGTCTCGTAAGGCCTGGCTATGTCATGATCTCTGCAAGGGATCCCCTTCAGAGGTGGTATTCAGCAGGTTCTGACCAGTTTTGGAGAACCGGTAGTGGAAATATTGAGTAGTTTGGAGAACCAGTAAACACCACCTCTGACTGGCTCCAACCCCATCTATTCTCTGCCATCCGAGTCCCAGCTGATTGGGAGGGAGTGGAGATTTTGCAGTATCTTTCCCCTGCCACGCTCACCAAGCCACACCCAAAAAACTGGTAGAAAATTTTTTGAATCTCACCACTGATCCCCTTACTAATTTAATAACTTATGTGCCTCGTGTTTTTTTACACTTTTAAATAATGACTGTTTCTAAGATGTTTATTGCTTTATCTCTTTGCTGTACGCTGCCAGAGTCACTTTTTATGAGATGGGAATCACATGCATGGGCTATATAAATAAAACGAATACATTTTTTTTTTACTTTTTTGCATATGCAGATTTAAGAATGACAAACAAGTCAAAACTGGACAATATGATGGTCTCGTTGAACTGGCCACTATTTGTGCCCTTTGCAATGACTCTTCGCTGGATTTCAATGAGGTGAATGCTTCTCTTTGGCTTCATCATCCACTTCTCACCAATTGTTCATTAAGGGATATGTGTGGCCAATTCCAAAACAAAACAAAACCAAATAATTCATCATTTAACTAACCAAAAGCAAAAAAGATGAAAATTAAAAAAAAAATTCTTTGGAGTCTAAAAACTCTTAAAAGGCAATATAAAGATTTTGACCTGGCATCCAGAAGAATTGTATGTAGTACTGGACAATGCTCTTGTTCTGACCTAGGCTTCCCAAAAGCACAAAGCCGATTCCTCATCCCGATAAAACCCCTTTTATTTAGTTTAAAGTGAATTCCTCTCCAGCAAAGTCTTTCAGGAGATTTCACAACAACAGACCTTTATCAGGCTTGAAGAGCTGCCAGGCCGATATCTTCCAAACACCACTCTGTAGCAGACAATATTTGGCAAGAAGTCAGGAACAGATCTTCNTTTGTAAACAAATTACTAGTCTACATGGACATATCACCTATCTAGAATCTCTAATCTGTGCTCTCCAAGCAGAAATTAGGTGCCCAATTCAGCCATTCCACTCTATTGAGCTGCCACGCTATCAGCCCTCTCTACCACAAAGATCCTGCTGGACAAGGGCAGTATGGACAACCGTGGGATCTGGCAGGGTGAGAGTGGTAAACCACAAACACAAAGCTTTCACTGTGTCCCAGCATAACAGATACAGTGACCTTGCTGACCTTAATAGGGACACTAAAGTGACAGGTCAAGGTAGTTGTGATAATGATAATTCAAATAAGCAGGGGATCGTGGTCCAAGATGAAGAACTTACTTTGGAAAGGGTAAAGTGTGAAACAGGTATTACACATCAGTCACACAAGAGCAAGGTATCCAAAAAGAGAAGCCACCTTCTGGTTGGTGATTCAATTGTAAGGGATGTAAATTTATGAAAGGATATGGAGGTTTCAAAGGAGGTCAAGTGTCTGCCAGGTGCTACTGCCAGCAGAGGCAAGAGGGGCATTCTTTTTTTTTCCAAATATTTTTTTTATTTTTCAGTAATAAACATACATAATTTGTGGACATTTCATTGACTGGGTCAAATCTTTTTTGGACAACATTAACAATAATACAAATAGTATGTGAAATTCTTATCTTCACACTTCAACAATATTTATCACTTTCATATTAATTCATTTGTGTGGGATTACTAATAACACCAATTATTAACAATATTCAATCCATCATGAGAGTGCAATATATTTTAACACACTATTAATATTAATAATACAGTTACATTACCTAATCTTAGATTACCACCTACTAATCGGCATTTATTGGGATTATGGTATTTTCCCATTTTATTAATATATTTTCTCATTATCCATCATCTCTTTTTTTTTAAAAAAAGTTTTTTATTTTTAATCTCATATATTCACAAAATATACATTCTCATAGTTATTAACATTGTGTGTTATCCTTCAACATTTATAACAATTTATTTCTCCATCTAAAGATTTAAATATAAAATCGAGATTGCTTTACCTACCATCCCATACACCTATCTTGTTTTACCACAACTGTGCTTTACCTTCCTTTTCTCCCTCCCTCCCTTCTTCTCAACTTTCTTCTTTCCTCCTCACCTTTCCCTTTTCTTCTTCCCCTTCCTCTCCCCCACACCTCCCTTCTTCTTCCCCTTCCTACCCTCTCTCCTACTCTTACTTCCCCTCCATATTTTCATCTCCTTTCCCCTTTCTTCCTTCCCTCTCCTTTCCTCTCTTCCTCCTATCTTTCCTCTCTTCCTTTCCTCTTTCCATTGTTGTGTTTACATATTTTCCTCTTTCAACTGGCGTATTTCCGGGATGATATTCTAGCAAACCTGGTTCTGTCTTTACATTTACATTTCCTCTTCCTCATTATATTTTCTGTTCTATTAGTTACACGTATCTCATCCTTTGAACATATATTTGTATATTAATACTTTTCTATTTCCCCCTCTTTCCCCCTTTTTCATTTAATAGTGTATCGTCTGGGTTTCTATTTCCCTTTCTCGCCTTTTCCTTTCTATATTCTTATTCATATACTTTTTCTAACCAATCATAATTTTTTCCCCATGTAATGAAGTACCTCCTTATCCTTTATCCTCAATGTTAGTCTATTCATTTCTACACAGTCTAATTTTTTCTTTATTACCTCTCCTTCTTTAGGGATCTTGTCTGTTAGATCGGGTGAATGGATGAGGCAGACTCAGGCTCAGTAACAACAGCTCTTTATTCAGTGACTGCTCTCTACAATCCAGCAAAAGTTCTGTCCTGCAGCAGCCCTTTTATAGGGCTCTGGCAGGGCCTTCTGCCAATCAGATTTAAATGAGTTCCTGCTGGTAGCAGAGGACCTTGGTGGAAACTACATGCATTCAAGGTACTTAACATATTCAAAGTANTCCCACCAAAGGTGGTTCCTATTTTTCTACTTGCATTTTTACGTGCTTTTTAACTGCTAGGTTGGCAGAAGCTGTGACAAGTAACAAGCTCACTCCATTAAGCAGCGCTAGTGATTCGAACCACCGAACTGCCGACCTTTCTGATTGACAAGCTTAGCATCTTAGCCACTGAGCCACCAAGTCCCTTACTTACTGAGCTTTATACTGCCCTGAAATGCCGTTTAATTTATTTTCTTCTTTCCTTTTGTAAGAGACTTCTCCCCTGAATGCTGATCTGAGAATTTTCAAAAGTTAGCAAAAACTCCCAGGTGCAGGACTCTCTTGTGAAAGAAATGATGAAACTGAATTAAACACTATTTTCAGGGCAGTATGAAATATAAAGCTCAGTAAATGCATCTTAAGACAATATAGCAATTTAAATGTGTGGATTATCTTTTTTTTCCCACATGTGCAAGTGTGCATAAAGGGAAATGCATGCTTTGCAGCTGAGGAAAAAACATCTTGATTGACTTTAGATACTATATAACTTGATTATGGAGTGTGGGAATGGCCTGGTCCATGATCTTTAAAGTTACACCAAAATCCTGGTGGCAAAAATGGAAGGCAATTGCTTTATGTTTAGCCATACAAGAGTAATTCCTTCATCACAGCCTCTGCTTCCTTGAGAACACTGAAGGACAAGAGGACAAGCCATGTATCAGACATATAAGCAATATGCTCATCCAACTGTATGTTAAACCATAGTGTGTTTAACCATGGTTTACTGAATAAATCACCATTACCTAGTTCATACAAGCCACTGAACCATACATCCTGTTTTTGAAGTCACACTAGGTCAAGGGTCAATAACCTGTGGCTCTGGAGCTACATGTGGCTCTTTCATGCTTCTGCTGCAACTTCCTATTGCTGGTCAGCTGTACAATTGATAGGGCTTTCAGTTAGGACAGGTATAGGAAAAAGGATGCCGTGCTAGGAGGAGACTCTATGGTGGGGGAACTGGACTTCTGGTCAGCTCCAGAATTAAATGGGGGGGCTTGTAGTTAAGACCTTTGTGGCTCTTTGAGTGTTTAAGGTTGCTGACCCCTGCACTAGGTGATATAAGGCACCAAAATAAAATTTGGCATTGATATTTTGGTTCAGGGCATTGTATGAACAATAAAGTGGGAACCAGCCACTTTGTACTTTTCTCTATTCTTGGTTTATCTCCTATTAATTCTTCTCTATTTCATTTTCTCTATTTCTTCTCCAAGAAACTTGAGTTTACATATAAAACTCTTTCCCCTCCTGTATGCACAAGTGAGCTGTAACTTAGGTTAGTCTGGGAGAAACTTCCCATCATCACAAATGTTGTCTCTGTGGAGATTTTTATCCAATTCTCCCCTCAAGCCGCTATATTATAATTGATCTATTCAATAAAAAGTTTTATTTATTCATTACTTTAGCTTCTAGATTGTTCCATATTCAAAGAAACTCAATGGCTTACAAATGACAATATAAAATATACCATTAAAAACCAGTAACATAAATCACAAAGTCATGATGTGTCACCATTTGGGTTACAATAATCCATGTTTTCATAACTCTTTGGAAAAGTGATCAGATAATTCAGTTTGAGCCTTTATCTATCTTAATTGCAAAGATTCCCACCTTTGACATGGTGTAAACTTGATATAAAGACCAGATGGAGGTTATCTAGTGAAAGGATGTGATGGCTAGTAGGCTCGTAATCTTTTTTCTGACCTTCGCAGAATGACCTGACCTTTGTGGGCTGCGTAGGAATGTTGGATCCTCCCCGCAAAGAAGTCTCAGGATCCATTGAACTCTGCCGTGAAGCTGGCATCCGCGTCATCATGATCACCGGNGTCTCTTCTGAGGCTCAAAAAAAAAAAAAAAAAAGATTATTCTCACATTACATACTTTCCAGAGATGGCCATGCCATCTGCATTGCGGTAATATTGGAAACCAGGACTAGTATATTTGGAGGATCAATTGTTTGGATTCATGTCGTTCATTTGCTGTGGTTCTTTGTGAAGCAAAGTAAGATTTAACTCTCCTTTTCTCCCTCTGCTTTGCATTTCTTCAGGTGATCAAACAGCTCATGAAGAAGGAATTCACCCTGGAGTTCTCTCGTGACAGGAAGTCCATGTCTGTCTATTGCTCTCCAGCCAAAGCTTCCAGGGCTGCTGTTGGTAACAAGATGTTTGTCAAGGTTGGTAGTAGGCTTCTTTGTGGCCCATCTCAGTGACCCACAAGGGGAAATAGGAATTCACTCTCTGTATCTATTCTAAGTTTAATTATTTTTTTCTAGTTCATTTTTCCAAAGGTAGCCCTTGATTTACAAACATCTGTTTAGTGACTGTTTAAAGTTACAATAGCACTGGGGAAAAAATGATTTACAACCTTTTTCACGCTTATGACTGTTGCAGCATACCCTAGGTCACGTGATCAGAATTTGGATGCTTGGCAACTGGTTCATATTTATGACTGTTGCTGTGTCCCAGAGTCACGAGTGATCACGTTTTGCGTCCTTCTGACAAGCAAAGTTAGAGGGAAAGCCAAATTCACTTAACAACAGTGTTACTAACTTAATGGTTGCAGTGAATGGTGGCAAGAAATGTTGTAAAATGGGGCAAAACTTACTTAACAACTGCCTTGCTTAGCAACAGAAATTTTGTGCTCAATTGTGGTCGTAAGTTGAGGACTACCTGATATATACAAATGGTAGCTGTTCAGGTGGAACTTAGCTTGGTATCCAACTTAGCCTGGAATCTTTCCATGAACCATCGTATCAGGGAAAAGACGAGGTCCTCTCTTCTTTTTTGTAGCTAGTTTTGTTCTATTGGAGGAAAGGGGGGAAATAATGGATAGACTTTCAGTTATCTGAACCTCCTTCAGCAGACATATAGTTCAATGATGGACCTTTACATGACTATGTCTACCACTTACTCTTCCGCATAAAGGAAAGAGAACTTCCAGGCTGAAGCTTTATGACCTGATCCAGATACTTATGTAGTCACATTGTGTGCTATTCTATCCACTTTCTCCATGAGTGACAATGCTTGTTATTTTTGTTGTGTCTTCATAGGGTGCCCCCGAGGGTGTGATTGACCGCTGTAACTATGTCCGTGTGGGCACCACAC